GGGGGGGGGGGGGGGGGGGGGGGGGGGGGGGGGGGGGGGGGGGGGGGGGGGGGGGGGGGGGGGGGGGGGGGGGGGGGGTCGTTCTGTCGCTCAATGATATCCCCCGGCGAACGAATCAACGAGGCTAGGGGTTGTTATGGAAACAAGAATGCACCCATGGTTCGGGTTTCACGTCGAACATGCAAAAGCGTTCGGCAAACGACTCATTCCTGCCCTGTGTCCGCCTGCAAGACAATGTAGAGGTACCAAACACGAACAACGCCCGCCCCGACCGCCCCCTCTACCCTGCTCTGCTCCTCTTTTAACAGGCGTTGGTGAGACTAGGTCTCCTCACGGCGAACCTCGACTCCCCTATGCACAGCTTGTGGGCGAACCAGAAGCACCACAACGCCAAGACGTAAAGAACGTGCCAGGCATGCGTAGTTTCTAGGAGGGACCTCGGTAACCCGAAGTACGACATTGTCAAGAACGCCCGGACAGCGGATGGACTCAAGGAGGACCTCGACCGCGTTGCGGCCACAGAAAAGAAGCAGGACCGNCCCCTATGCACAGCTTGTGGGCGAACCAGAAGCACCACAACGCCAAGACGTAAAGAACGTGCCAGGCATGCGTAGTTCCTAGGAGGGACCTCGGTAACCCGAAGTACGACATTGTCAAGAACGCCCGGACAGCGGATGGACTCAAGGAGGACCTCGACCGCGTTGCGGCCACAGAAAAGAAGCAGGACCGGGTAAAGCTGTCACGAGCTCTGGGCGTGGTCGTGCCCCGGTATCCCAACCCCCTGCACGAGGTCGCTATCGACCGGGTTGACGGATGCGGCATGGACGGTACACAGATGCCGTAAGGTTGGTTCGGTCTAATCGAGATGCCAGCCTCAATCGTGTGGTATAGGTCAGACAGGCAAGTCCACATTGGACGTGTGGCAGATCTCGTTTCCCAGTTCTCCTACACTCACAAACGTGATCACATCGCTTTGTTAATTTGTTCCCAAAATGAGCAAAGCGACGCTCGGATTACTAGCCAAGCGGCATGTGCCCTGACGGGCGAGGTATCATTCAACCCCGGTAACCTGCCAGCTAACTTGACTCTGACCCCACCCCTACCCTCGAATCTTTGATGTTACTGCTGATGCAGTCTGCGCTTAACTCGGGCAAGAAGATCATGGGCTTTGTGATGGATGCTCTTGATCCCACTGGTACCGAGGTTGTGCGTGCTCGGTTTGCATGGCGCCGGATGCTGCCCCCGAACGTCTCGCCGATAGCCGACATCACCAGTGCTGGAGGTAGGTCGGCGTTGACTGGTCAACAGTTGTGGCTCGTTGCCAGTATCTTCCCCTTCCTCCTCGCGCCAATCTTCTCCAGTCCGGACAATCTGGTGAGTACGGCTGGTGGGCAGAGATAAACAATGGGATATAGCCAACGAGGTGGCGTGGGTGGACACGTGCCACGATTTCGGCCGTGTATTGCAATTCAACGGGGCATTCTGCAAGTTGTTTCGCCACCGCCACCGCCACCGCCACCGCCGGTGGTCCACCTCTGAAAATGGCATATGAAAGAGACACCACAACCACTGCTGTGTTGTGTTACTTCGCTCACACCGAACCGGGGCTTAACGAAACGCTTTGCAGCTTAACGATCAGTCCGGTATTTCGGTCCCCGAGAGTCTTAATATGCCCTTGAAAGTAGCTGAATATGCCTGTTATAGACTGCACGCCTAGGTCATGTCGAGAACTCGGGGCATAGGAGCGATTGGATACATGGGAAGCAGAAGAAAAAAATTGCTTTGCGTCGATTCACTATGTATCGGGGCCCCTACGCCAACCCTACCGGTCAAAAGCTACAAACTTCAGCAATTTAGAGGGTGTTTTATGCGGCCTCTCTCGACGTTTACGAACACGTTGTCATGACATGTTTCGTTTCTTGGCGATGCCGCCGTAGGCGAAATATGGAGGGGAGTGGTGCAGAACAGGGCACCGGAAAAAAAATTTGGACCGCCTCCTCTCGTCCGATTTAAAACCTAACTCCGCGAATCGCGAAT